GAAAGGAAAGGAAAGGAAAGGAAAGGAAAGGAAAGGAAAGGAAAAAAGAGAAGGGAAAGGAAAAAGAAAGAAAGAAAGGAGAGAGAGGGAGGGAGGGAAAAGAAAGAAAGAAGGAGGAAGGGAGAGAGAGAGACAGAAAGAAAGAAAGAATGAACAAAAGAAAAGAAAAAAGAAGAAAAAGTAAGACATGTAGTTTACTTTTACCATTTTGCACAAGAGGTTATTTGAGAGCTGTTGATTTTTCTTTTCTCTCCTCCTCCCAAAAGGATTCCAGTAACTTAATACTTCAACATAAATGGATGATTGGACATACATGATTGATTCTAGCTCAGGCTATGTTTAGTTTCTTTTAAAGTCAAATTTTTAAGATGCTATCTTCAAATGTGCATAATAAATCATGACCAATTTGAATTAGCTGAAGAGAAAAAAAATGAATTAGCTGAAGAGAATGTAGTCAGTTCTTTTATGAAAAAGAAATCAAAATTTTAGCAATAAAAAATAAATGAAGAGCATATGCTTCTGAGCCAGACTAAGTTCAAATCCTTGTGCTCCACCTGGCCACTCTGGCTTTGGGCAAGTTCCCAAATCTCTCCATACCTCAATTTCTTCTCAAGATGGGGATAAAAATGGTATGCCCCTCTTAGGTTTCTATGAGAATTGAATGAATTCACACTTTTTAAATGCTTTAAAAGTGATTCAGTAATCATTAGCTGTAATTGTTATTCATTCATTCGTTTACTGTTTTCTTTTAATAAATATTTGAGTATCTTTCTCATGCCAAGTATAAGTACAAGCATATAGCAATGCATAAAACTGATAAAAGATTTAACTTTATTATTATCATTTCAAGTCATCATGAGATGTCTTCATAAACCATGATGGATATTTATCAGCCTTCTCATCCTCAGTGGTTTAGTATATATAGAACCTTGCACAAAAGAGCTGCTTAATAAATGTTGATGGAATCAAGTTTGAATACGTGAGTCATTGCAACACAGGATAATAAGCACTTAATTTAGAGTTAGGAGATGCATTGTCAAGTCCCAGTTTCTTCCCTAGAGCATTATGTGACCTTGAGAAATTTACCGAAAAAATTAGTCTGAAAACTAAGAAAGCTATATCATGAAACCACTAAGATCTCTTTTGATCATGATTCTACCAGGTAACTGTCAATGATGCACTATTTGTTGACTGGTTATAGTTCTGTTTTTCTTAAATTTAATGAACTTTTCATTTTAGAATAGTTTTAGATTTACAGAAAAGGTGCAAGAATATTACAGAGGGTACCTGTATAACCTGCATCCAGTTTGCCCTTACTGTTAACATCTTACGGGGTCATAGTGCATTTGTCGAAACTAATGAACCAATAGTGATACATTATTATTAACTAAAGTCCATGTTTTATTCCAATTTCCTAAGTTTTTACCTAATGTCCTTTTTTTTTTTTTTGCTCCAAAATCCCAACCTGGCTACCACATTATATATAGTCATCACATCATGTCCCCTTAGACTCATCTAGATTTGACAGTTTCTCAGACATTCCTCGTTTTGATGACCTTAACAGTGTTGGGGACTATTGGTCAGGAATTTCATAAAATGTCTTTAAATTTAGGTTTATTGAATGCTTTTCCCATGGTCAGACAGGGGTTGTGAGTTTGGGGGAGGAAATATAGAGGTAATTCGTCTCACATCTTATCAAAGATATATGCTATTAATGTGAACACCCATTGAAGATTCTATTTTTATGGTTGGATAAGAATTATGTATAATTGGTAACTTAATGTATGGTATTAAGGAAAATCTTTTGGCTAGATGTAATTTTCTAGGCAATGTATAACATAGTTGATTCTCTTTAAATACAGCATAATCTTAAAATATACTTGCCTTATTTTTTCCATGAAAAAGTTTCCTCACCACTGATAAATGAAAAGTAACTGAAAAATCCATTGTTATAAATTAATAGTAATCCTACATATGGATACAAGATTTATATATTAAAGTTAAAGTGAAAAATATTACTGTTTGTATTTCTCTCAAATTAACTGCAAAATTGTGAAAATAACAGATTTGTGCTCAGCTATGAGGTCTAAAGCACCAAAGCAGAAGGGCCAGAAGTTAAGCCTTTTGATACTAATTCCCCTAAACCTGTCTCATGCAAAGAACTTGCCTTAAGAAATGTTAATACTTCACTAAGCCCTAGGCATAGAGTATCTGGCTGTTTGTAATCTTCTGGCATCCTTGGTCTAAATGTACATTATCCTCTGAGGTTAGAAAAAATACTAATGTAGCTGTCACAGGGATTACAAGATCCATGGTTTTGTTTATTCTATATTTTTCTTATGAATTTCACTATAAATAGGGAAGTTGGTTTAGGGTTACTATGATCTATGCTATGCACAGTTTTCAGATCAAGACATAAGATAAACATAGTCAATCCAGAGGAAAAGTTGTTAGAAGTAGGGTTTTACTTGGGATATCCTTACTTGGATTTAAATGAAATAAATAGCCAGAGTATCACACTGGCTCCAGCATGTAGCCACACAAAGTTTAAATATACCTATATTTACGGTTGTCACGCCACAAGGAGCTGATTGTAAGACCAATTTAGTAGTTTTAGCCTACTGCTGTTTGTCACCTTACTTTGTGACCTTACCATGTGTCACAGTCATGGCCAAGAATATCATCCACAACCTTTTTATTTTAAATCCCTGATTTTTTCAATCTATAAAACACTTTGCCCTGACTCACTGTATTCTATTTCTGTGACTTTGGGAAATGTCCTTAATTTTTGGAATTTCCTCACTTGTACAAGTTTGTGTGAAGGTTAAATGAAATTATGTATATAAAACACTTAGCAAATTAACTGGGCATTTGTTATTTATTCATAGACACATATGCATATGCTTTCAATCATTTCTGGTTTGTTGGGAGCAATGAATAGCTACTAGACTATCTTACAGTCTATGATGCCATATCTAGGTTCTCAGAAATATTTTCTAGCTATTACCTGGTATTTTAACATTGGCACTTCAAGAGATAAGTAAAAATTAAACAGGAAATGAACCTGTCAATGTTCAAGGGAATAAATGTATTCTGGTGGCAGAACTTGGCATTAGAGTAATTTTATTTATTTTTCTCTAGTCATGAAAAACTGATAAGCAGTATGACTCTTTTTACATGTTTGAAGGATATTCTTCAAAACACTAAAGTAGGCTTACTCGAGGATCTTAGCAGTTAAATAAGTGATTAAACATGTATGAAGCGTCAGGCAAAGGAGATAAGATCCAGATGAATCGTTTTATACAACAGCCCTCAACAAGAGCCCATTTCTCTTCTTATTGACTAGTGTTTCTGATGCCATATTTGGGAACGAAGCCATAACCAATCTCATCTAAACTCCCACGTCTATATCTGGATCAAAGGAGATGTCCAAGTTAAAGGGCATCCTGTAACTGCAATCAACTCTTGATAATGTAATCTAATAAGAAGTAAGCATTTATGAGGACAACACTTCATTGCAGGCAGACCACTGTCCCTTATAACCACTGCCTAATTCACTTATTATGAACTTTTCAGTGTGGCTTTAATGACCATGGCAGCATCTGGAATGAAAAACAGTTCCAGGAGCAGGCGTGGCTAGAGAGACAGCCTGGGAATATTTTGAATAGGAGGTTAAGAACCAGCCAGCTGGGAGGCCGAGTAAGTAGTAGAAAAGTAGAAAGGATAGGAGCATTAGAGCTCCCTTGCAGTTTGTTATTGGATATGGCAAACATTGCTAATGGTAATTGGTAATTGTCATCTTTGGAATGGGAGCTGTGTATACCCAAGTGAAGTCAGGATAAAGGACTTTTGCTTTAGAAGTTGACCTCTCCAGATTTAGAATCAGACTTCAGAGCCAGAAGGGTTGTAGGGTTCCAGTACATCAACACTTTCATGGTCATCAGACTCTTAAAACGATGATGTGACCTTAACATGGTGTGACCAGACTGTGAGTTTCTTGTAGAGTGACCACTGATGTTTGAATACTGTGTAACAAACTCTCTGAACACAGCCTGGTACAGAGCATACATTTAATAAATATGCCAGGCCAGAGTTTTTGTACCTGGCATTGAATATACAACTCTTTGTAAATAGGACAATGATTTTCTAAATTGTTGATCCTGAACAAACCAGTATGTCATCAGGGTTCCATTTTTTTTTCTTTCTTTCTTTCTTTCTTTTTTTTTTTTTTGCACAAGTCTATAGAAAAGGATCAGTACTTATATTTTAATTAAAGAAATAAATGTAGAGGGAAAATAGAAAGACAAGTAATAAATAAAAATATCTTAAAAGTGTTTATCCTCTATTTTTTAAAGCCATCTGTGTAGAAATAGATGCATACAATGTACAATGCATTGTAAAGACTATTTTACTAAGGCCACATGTTAACAAGAAAAATCTGTTGGTATGTTTATTTGCCCCGCAGAAAAAAAATGTGAGTGTATTTGGGTGTATTTTTCAGAATCATCTGCATGGTTTATATCAATATAGGCAACTACATGTGGCCATCTATGCAAATTTCTTCATGAGATGATTGACTCGTCGACAAGCAGTAATTGCTGGCTATCTTATCATTATTAGCAGAATGTAATATTAGTGATACATTTCCAAGTAGGGAAAGGTAATACCAGTGTTTTTCTCTTTTTCCCTGTGCTATTTTGAATGCAGACAGTACCACAGGGACACCAGCAATATCAACGACCACTGTGGAAATTCGCAAAAGCAGTGTTATGACAACTGAGATCACCTCCAAAGTGGAAAAAAGCCCCACGACAGCCACTGGCAATAGCTCATGTCCTTCCACGGAGACTGAGGAAGAAAAGGCAAAACGGCTTCTTTACTGTTCGCTATGCAAGGTTGCTGTCAACTCCGCCTCGCAGCTGGAGGCGCACAACAGTGGTGAGATGCAGTGATTTCTTTTCTGTCTCAACAGCTCTGCAATTATCTTCCTCTGAATGGATTGTATCTTTTGCAGCAGGGGACAAAGGGGTGGTGGAAAACTGGCAATTATTACATGGAAGTCATTAACCATTAAAAAATAAAAATGACATGCGAAGTGTCATTTACACGAGACCTTGCAGGGCTCCTGCGCCTTGATGTGCTTGTGTTTGTGTTTATGGATGTGTGTCTGTGTGTGTGCGTGCACAGATGTTATTAAACATTAGGAGATAAAGTAAAATATAATTCTAAAGTATAAGCTTTGCATTTATTTGATTTCAAAACTGCTATGTACTCCCACACACTGGCTTCTAAATGAAGTTTTTTGAAGTTTTTTCAATGATATAGTTGCAAAATCTGGTTCCATAATTCCATGAGCTTTTAGCTAAAACCTCTCCATTATGGTTTTTATGGCAAAATGATGCCAATTGGGCTAATTCTATATCACCTGGGCAATTAAACGGAAAGTGCTTATTATGGGCAACCACTGAGGTATGTTCTCTACATGTAATATTTCATTTATTCTTTGTGACAACCTAAAGATACTATTCTTGCTGTTCGATTGAGGCTCAGGCAAGGCACATGACCAACCAAGTGGCTGAGCCATGATTTAAACTTAGGTCTTTCTAACTTAAACACTAAACTTGAACATATCTTAACAGAATATACCGATAAGCCAGGATGAAATGCTTCCCCAATGTATTTCAGTTCTATCCATCTACTGTATATCTGTATGTATAGAAAGATATTACATAGATATTATATACCTATACCTATCTATCTAGATACGTAGATACAAAAAGAGAGTCTAAATCTATATATCAATATCTATATTATCTATCAATAAAATCTAGATTATATCGATATATTGATATAAATAATTGTATATATATCCTGCCTGAGATTTTAGCCAGCCCTTTGGCCCTAGATTAGATTTCCTTTAAAAGGCCTAGTTCGTTGCCAGGACCCTGTCAGCAATTACAATAGGAACAGAATCATTTGTAAATCATACCCTGGGTTAATATTGCAGCTTTATGTCGGCTGTCACTGGCCAATCACTGTGCTGCACGGTAATGTTCAAGTATTGACTTCAGTATTCTAAGGGAATAGTTGCAGATGGAGAGCAATTCCTTCAGCACATATCTCCCCCCCAGCACCCGCCCCGCGCATGCAACATTAGTTGTGCCATCTGGGAGTTCATGAGTTCAGAGGCTGAGAAATACAGAAAAAGATCTGGCCCCAAGTCAGAATCTATACTGTGCAGACGTGCCTCATGTTTTACTCATGCAATTACATTATTCAGGGATGCCAGATAATTGTAGAGCAAAAACATCATTGAAAGTCCATTTATTTCTCAAGAATTCTTGATCATTCTGCAGACTGAGAGAGAAACACATTCATTTTGAGGAGGGATCAGCTTTGACAGATAAAGCATACCTTTGAGGCTGGAGTTAATTTATCAAGAATTTAGATGTCCTTCCTGAATTCTTGTCAGAAACATCGGATTAAGAAGCAAAGAATAATTACTTATTTCATTATGTTGTATCAGGTCAACATTTTTCATATTCCAATTCTACAATCCTCATCTCTGCTTTGTGTGTCAGAAATGCCCACAAAGCTTTAAAAGCATATTCACCCATGTCACTTTATATATATATATATATATATATATATAAATTTTAAATATATAAATATATAAATTTTAAATATTTTAAGAAATAAATATAGAAGGAAAATAGAAAGACAATAAAGAAAAAGAAAAATATCTTAAAAGTGTTTATCCTCTATTTTTTAAAAAGCCATCTGTGTAGAAAGTAATTGGCATATTTATATATTTTTATATATATATATATATATATATATATATGTGTGTATTTCCTATATTCAGGGATTCTGATTTATTATACATCCAGGCCTAGAAGCTATAGGAAAGCTAAGAAAAGCTTTCCCAAAGCTTTTCTTTGGGAAAAGAAAAGAAGCAAAAACAAAAAAACTCAAAAGTACTGTGCAGGCAGAGCTGAGTACTATTCTAACCATCTTATCTGGGAGTTTAAGGTGGCAAATGCAGTGAAACCTTACAGGAATCGTTTTATAGGGGTGTCCCCTCCAAACCTTCAGCCTGCTCAGGGGACTATAGCCCCCTTCTGTCTAAGCTTGGTTTCTTTATTCCTGCATTTCCCTTCCTGCATCAGAGATCTTTTTCCAGGGTCCAGGCCCGGTGCTTATTTTAGGCCTCCCCGGAACTTGCACTAGCCAATTGGGCCAGAACTGGAGGTGGCAAAGGAAGAAGTGAAGCTACACAAGTAAATTCTCTTTAACCCCCTCTGTGTGCCATTTTTGATCTGCAGATTCAGCTCTCTTCTTTGTAACTGAAGCCCCAGTGGGAGGCGTGTTGTGTCTGGGACGTCCGCTACGTGTGGAAGGCGAATGCAGTCGTTCCCATATTCAAACAACTGCCCCTTGTGCACTGGTTCCTGCATCATTCCCTTAGGATCCCATATGGGGAAACCCAGGGGAGGGGGGTGTAAAGGAGAGAGGATCTCTGTAGGCTCACTTGCCCATCACGGAAAGAATAGCTGCTGTAGGATTCATCGTAGGATTCATCATAGGATTAGTATGGTGTGTTGTAGTTTGGGTTCCATTAGAAGCAGACTCTGGGACCAGGATTTGAGAGCAAATGGCTTTTAGGGGAGGCCAGGGGCACAGGTAAGGAAGTGGGAAGAGGGAACAGAGAAGGGAAGCAGCCAGTGCCGTGTGCATCACTCGGCAGTTACCAACGTGGGCAACTGGAACTTGCCAAACAAAGCCGTGACCCTGGCTCACACTGCGTTTCACTGTTTTAAACATAAAAAGGTCCAGTGGTCAGATAGGATGACAGAATTGAGTTAGCTCAAATTCTGTGCCTTCATCTTTACAATCATGGTGCTATCATCTCATTGATCATTTATGATCTACTGTTTACATTAAAAATACAGAGTACCGCAGCGGTTAAATGCACGAACTGCAGCCTTTGTGAGCTTGAATGATTTCAAACTGTTATGGACTTGCTAATGAAACAAGAGCCTATAGCTGAATTCCTGTGTGTCTGTGGCCCACGGTATAATGGAGAGGTCTGCAAATTAATTTCCATGTAGCATATGATGTTTAGTATAAAATAAGTTAGACAATGGGCTAATTTAATATATGCTAAAATCTCAATAGTAAAAACAGAATATAGACAAATCGTGTTCTAGGAAGCAGTCCTTTATCACGGACATTAGTTAGCATTGCCAGTTCATGATGCTAGTGGAAAGACAACTGTTTTAGTCCACTTAATTATTTTCTAATTCTCTGTAATGGACCCCCTGTTACCTGCACCCAAAGCAGACCACAATCACTGCCTGAGTGCTCCACTCCCCCCATACTCACCCCCACCTCTCCAATATCACTAGCAGAGTGCTTTCTTTCAGAGCTAGATAGTAGGAAGCCACTGTGAAGACTGGGCCTTTTTTCAGGGAACCAGGTTTGAAGGCTGATTTTGTTCAGAGGCAACCAGGCTATAGGGTGGGGAGATGTGTCTTTTGCATCTAAATTGTGGTTCTATGTATTTCTCTCTTTTTTTTTTTTTCCCTTTCAGAAACACCTTCTATGCATGGAATAAGGCCTGTAGCTCTGAATGTAGACTTGTGCATTTATGGTTTTTCTTTTAATCTTAAAAAAATATATTCTTAATCATAAACTGATTTTGACTATAGCTTCCATCAAACACCACCTCTTCTTCTATGTTACAATGAAACAGGCTAGAAGTGATCAGACGATTTTTACCTCAGATCCGCAAATAACAATTCTATGTGAACCTGGGCAAGTCGACTGTCCTCTTTGGACTTCGCTGTCTCTCTCTCTCTCTCTCTCAGTCTCTCTCTAATGGAGCTAAGAGGCCATATGGCACCTTGTAAGGTTGAATTATTATGTCATGATTATTAGTATGACCACAGTTGCTGCTAACTTTATTTGGGGATTGGTTGCGTTATTTCATTTGCTTTCTCTTTTTATTTTTCACTAAAGTTGCGGTTAGTGGATTTATATTCCATAACATTGGAATGCAGGACTTAAATATGAGCATTCCTGCTTTGCATTTTTTCTTTTTTAGAATTTGAGAGAAGTAGTTCTAAGCTTACTAGCATGATTCACAAAACAGTCTAAGAATGTTTAAAACAACTTAAGAGGACATAGTCTTTTCAAAAGATCTGTAAGTCTCCTTTTAGTTGTATGTTATAGACACAGATAATACTAAAAAATGTTTTGTCTTTTTCTTCAAAGAAATCTCCCCAAAACATTCTATTAAGTAATAATTTGCTTAGCTGATTTTGATGGTTTTCTCTATATAATTAAAAAAAAAAACCTTTGAAATGTTTTATAGTTAATGCTTATAACAAATTTGGGTAAATTTTTCTGGCAATAACTTGAAGTGGTAACATTTGATCATTTTCACTAGGCTCATTCAAGCTTTCTATCCCTAGACAGAGCTTATTCTATCCCTCACTAAGTTTTAATATACAGAAAAGGCAGTTATCAAAGGATAGATTTTACTAACTTCTAAAGTATTTAGAGATTTCCAAATTTTTGCTTAAACAAGACCAGCACTGTTAAGAAAAAGAGAATTGACTAAAATTTATTGAGAGCACATGGAAGTGCCAAAAGTAATCCTTAAAACAATAAATGCATTTAATGCAACACTTCAGTAGAGCAGATAATTTCATTTTTCACGAAAAACTGAGGACACTGAGGCACAAAGAAATGTACACAGCTAATGGAGGCAATCTCTGACTCCTACCACTCCTGAGTCTGAGCTCACAATGCTCTTTACAAATATCTGTTCATTGCTCTTTATTAATATCTAATACTTGAGCTGTATCTACTGTGTGTCAGGCGCTGAGAATACAGTATGAGCAAAACCCAGGAGTTACCTTCAAGAAGCCCAGGTCTAATCCATGTTTCTGTGTTCAGGAAGAGAATTAGGTAAAACTTGTTTCATCCAGACATCTGTTTCACATTTCGAGTGAAAAATTCATTTAAGCAAGTCAGCTGTGGTCAGTGTTCATGGCCTTATTATTATTAAGGTCCAAAGATTATCTGCCACTCCTATTTGGCATCTTCTAGGGTAACGGTAAGCTTCTCAATTACAAAAGATATTAACCAGGGTGGATCAAGAGTCCCTCCAGAAAGTCAGAATAAGTGTCATTCTCCTAATGACTACTTCTTAAGCATTGATAAGCCAAACCAGCCCAGAAATTCTCAGTTTGACTGAAGAAGTTGCATGGAAAAGAAATATTTTGATAAAATCACCTGTTGGGATAAAGAAGGTTGGACAACCATCTGGACACATACACGCGGCATGCACACACACGTACACAGTGACACAAAGTGTATATGTATATATATATGTATATATATATATATAAAGTGTATGTATGTGTATATATATATATATATATATATATATATATATATACACACAAAGTGTATGTGTGTGTGTGTGTGTATATATATATATACACACACACACACATAAATAGATCTTGCTCCCTAGAGAATTGTTTTGCCCTACACTGGCTTACACCATCTGCAGGTTAAAAAGTGTTTGTGTCTATTTTGCAAGGTGGGTGGGCTTGCAAACTGCAAGAAAAAAGCAGACTGCAGGGAGGCCTCCCCACCAGCACCACAGAGCAGTTAGCTAAGGCTCCACATTTCAAGTCCTCCAGTCTACTTACAAGGTGTTGACCTTTTTCTCTTTCCTTAATATGTTGGGATATGAGCATTTTCATAGCTGTGCATAAGAATATGACCTTCAAAGTGGAGAGTCTATGTTGTAGGAATATACATTTTTTAATATTGGATTCAGTAAAGTTGCAATCATTCTGAAAGAGACGTGCCAGTAAACCTGTTCCGTGTATTCATCACCTCTTGTTTAAGGCGATGGTGATTGGCACTGACCTAGTGTGCCCCTCAATGTGTTTTCCTCATTCATAGTCAATGATTCTGGGAGGCCGGTCCAGGAATCCGAAGTTGAGAATCTCATTTTTTATGCTTCCAGCGCTGATAACAATCTAATAAATGCAAGTAGGAAAGAGAAACTACTAAAAAGGATTTAAGCAACTGGAATGGCAGAAAGTACATAAATGATGACAAGAGAAAAGTTCATAGCAAAACCATATGGCGAAGTGAGAAAAATAAAGAATAGTTATCAATGCTAAGAAAAAAAATTGTGAACAAAACTTTAAGAGAAAACTCCCATTCATGAACTCTAGTAGTTAAAAAAAATTTAAAAAAAAACAAGTGTTAATAACTGGAGTTACACTAGGTTTTGAGTGAGAGTCCAGAGATGTTACTGGCTTATTAAAAAGAAGTATTTGTGTATAGTGTCTCTGCTTGGCCTTTCACTGCTCATCTTCTTGGTCATTTGTTTTTTTTATTTGAAATGACATGACCAATCAGTGTGACCTTTACTATCCTAATAGGGCTTTTTTTTTTTTTTCCAGGCATCAAGATCTTTATATTCTTGCTCTTCCTTTTTGAACCTAAAAGACATAGCCAAGAAAGCTTGTTTGTATTCTGTTTAGAAAGTGGGTCTTTAATTAGTGCCACTTCTGTAAACACACCATGTTTAAACTGATTACATTTGTTACACATCACCTCCAACTATACCTTTAGCAACTAAATCACTCTTCCTCATCTGCTATCATTTATGTCTTATTAGCATCAAGAGGAAATGAAACGAAGTCACACCCATTTAATTTCATCTCGGGACTCTGGAGTGTAGGTGTTCTACTAATGGTGCCGGTTTGTTATGTGGGACATTGTAAAAACATGAGTAGTTAAGTAATGTTATGTAAAGTGGTCAGAGCACCTTGTCTTCTAAGTTAAGCATATTTCAGTCATAATCCCTGGAAGAACTGCTCTAAAACTAGACATCTCATTTTGTTACTGTATCATTTCTTAAAGGCATATACTAGCTAAGATTTTCTTTCTTTCTTTTTTTTCTAAATCCTCCTGGCAGGTACTAAGCACAAAACCATGCTAGAAGCCCGGAATGGAAGTGGGACTATCAAAGCCTTTCCTAGGGCAGGTGTGAAAGGCAAAGGACCAGTTAATAAGGGAAACACAGGTCTGCAAAACAAAACGTTTCACTGTGAAATCTGTGATGTGCACGTCAACTCGGAAACACAACTTAAACAGGTAGACAGCTCATATTCTAGAAATGAAAACAACAGATAGGGGACATCCTGATGAGCAGAATGTGTGTGCTTCCTTTGTTCCCTTTCTTTCCTGTTTTTTTCTCCCACCCATCCACCCATCCATCCACTTAATCTTCTACTCGCTCCCCTTATTTATGCCTATTTTAGTTGCCAAGGAAATAGTAAAATGTAATATTTTCTAAGTCCTTTCAGAAAATGTCTGAAGTGAATTTGTACTATTCTTATTTCTGAAGAGTGGGAGGAAAAGGGGTATTAGGTTTTTTCTCTACCAGGTTTCCCACTCAAAAGTGTTGATTTTCTTTAAAGGTCAAATTGCAACGTTCCATTTTTACTTGTTTAGATATTTACATGTTACAACTAATTTTATACTGTTCTATTCTTTTATTTTATGTACTTTATTACATGGTGTTGTACTGTATTTCTCTATCCTGCAGCCACCTGCTAAAGGGATGACTAATCCTATTGCATTCACTTTTACTGTGACTAGTCTTCCAAAGAGATTAGCTAGACGTTGCCAATTGAAGGCCCAACCCCCATACTGTGTTGTGTTTTATATGCATATGTGCAATATCGTAGTCATTTTATGCACCTTTGTTATTTATCTTTAGAATTTTAGGGGTTGACATTTGGCTGTACAAATGTGAGGATAAATATTAGTATGGAAATAAATTCATGCCTGCCTGGGCATCTTTGTTTATTTGCACATAAAATTCCTTTAGACATTCCTTTCCTTTGTACATTTTTAAAAAGGAGATCTGTGCAGCGATGAAGAGAAAGGCTGGAGAAAAGAAGAGCCTTCTTTTTGTTAAAAATATACTAAAATGAGTAGCATAAAAAGATATATCCTCAAGCCATCAGAATCCAAGGACAAAAGTGCATGCTCTTTTGTTTTCATCTTTCTGCAACTTGTATAAAATAATTAATATCCTTCCTCAGGTTAAAACAATATTTATGAGGGGGTTTTGGGGATTTTTTTTTTAAAGCTGTCATTTTTAATTGCTTTTAATAGCACATTAGCAGTAGAAGGCACAAAGACAGAGCTGCTGGGAAGCCCCCGAAACCTAAATACAGTCCTTACAACAAACTACAGAAGGCAGCACATCCACTGGGGGTGAGTGTCATCGTTGATTCCCAAACAACAGTGATCTTGAATGTCCCGTTGTCTGCGGAACTTGACTTTGTTGTTGTTGTTGTTGTTGTTAATTACTGAGTGAAATACATGGAAAGAACCTAAGTCATGACAAACAATTGATTGGAAAGTCCAACCCCTACTCCAACAACAGAATTATTAGTTCCATGAGTTGTTTGGGTGGTTTGCCACGTTTAGCCACTGTCCGATAACTGTACCTTTTGGAGTTGGGCTCTGGTTAATGACAGAGCCTGGGGACGGGAGTAAAGCCAAACTCTTGAGTCAGGAAAGTAATCACATGAAATCTGGTCTTGATGTTAGTGGATAATTTTAGGAAAGGGCAGTGAAAAGCAAGTTCTCACATCTCCTTTTTAATATCTTCAAGGGGCAAAGCACCGATGTTGTTGATACCCTCAACAGTTTTGGATTTCGAATAGCACAGTCTCAAGGGCATGGCTGATTTTATTTAATTATTACACCAAGAATAGTATCTAAGGCCTGGGGAAATTCTTCCCGGGAGATGCCCTCTTCCCATTACCCCAAATATACCTTTTAGAATAGTGAACACACTAGTATTAGTGTCCTGACCTGGAATTTTTTTTTTTTTTTAGGAATTTAGGGGAAATCTGTGAAACTTGATGATCTCAAGCTAATATTTATGACCATGTGGAGTTTTTCGTTGTTTGTGTGTGTGTGTGTGTGTTTCGCTTTTGTTTTTGTTTTCCTGGTTGAATTGACCATAGCTTTTATCAGGGAGACCCACGCCTCAGTGAAAAGTTAAGAACAACTGATCTATAGTATGTGCTGAATTGTGCATTTTGAAATCTGTTTTCTTCCAAATAGATCTTATTAATAATTGGTGCTATTGTGTGTTGCTGGCACATGAAAATATAGATAAAGGAAAACTTCAATCATCTCTTATGAGACCTCAGTAGGAGTTGACCCAATTAATTTAGTAGCATCATCCATTTTTATGCAAATGAAGTCACTTTACTCTTTTGTACAGAAGCAATTTTAGCTTCATTGAAAGGCTGTGAATTCTGCACAGAGCTGATGTTTCAGCACCACTGGTCCTAACTTTGAGTGCTATTTCTGACCAGCATAGATGCAGCTTTCAACAATCAAGTGAATGGTTCTTAAATAAACAGGGAAGTCAAATTGTGTTAATGTTACCATCCAAAACCTCCTTCCTAGCTCTATGTTACTGTTTCCATAAATGGGAGACATTCTTTCTGTGAGAACAGCCATCTTACTAACGCTACCAGCCAAAGAATGAACTGGTTTTGTAGAGTAGTGTTAGGAGAATGTTATTACCATTTGCACAAAGAGGAAGCAGAACGTGGCAGATCTGGGGGGGAGGTAAGTGTCTTCCTTGAAAGTGGAATTTTGTTATCTTTATTTCTCTTCGTTAATACCTCGCACCTTGCTGTGCTCCCCAGTTTACACACTTGGATAGCCTAATAGTAGTTGACAGCATTAATAAATCTCTCTTTTAAAGTATCTATTCCATGACAGTTAATGTGTGTGTGTGTGTGTAAAGATTCCATACTTTTTTTCCTCAACATGAATACTTTCCTCAGGAGGTATATTTATGAAGAAAAATAAAATAAGGTTGCTGAGTATTTTTCTAGAGGACTTCTCAACATCCTAAGTTGGTCATCTTCAAGTGATCTTCCAGCTCTTTCAAAGGAAAGATGTTCTACACTTTTCATTACTTTTAGTGACACTTCTGTTATTTTTATTGTGTGATTTTATCTTGGTAGTTGTTTTCTGCTACATTTTAAAGCTGCCCTTCATTTTGGGTTCTAAGGGTAGATGCCCCAACTCCTGTCCTCTGCCCCCTTTTTTTTTCTCTCTCCTTGCAGGTAAAATTAGTATTTTCAAAAGAACCTTCAAAGCCATTGGCTCCACGCATTCTACCAAACCCACTGGCGGCTGCGGCCGCCGCTGCGGCCGTAGCTGTGAACTCCCCCTTCAGTCTCCGAACTGCTCCAGCGGCCACACTGTTCCAGACCTCGGCGCTCCCGCCCGCACTCCTGAGGCCAGCTCCGGGACCTATTCGGACCGCCCACACTCCTGTGCTGTTTGCTCCTTACTGAGTTCCAAATGGGAGTACTTGTACTGCAATAATTTTTCAAAAAACAAAAAACAAAACAAAACAAAAACAAAAAAAACAAAAGAGAACTATGCAGTGTTTATTTATAGTTTAAAGTCTATCTGAAGAGCCAGGACTTTTGATAGTGAATTGAAAAGATTATTTAAAAAAAAAAAAAAAAGGAGGGCGGTCTAGGGGTGGGAAGGGAGGGGGTGGTATTTTCTCCAAATTAAAGCATTCCTCTTGAACACTGATTGTTTTAGAAGTGATCTCCAGCATTGACTTGTAGTGGTATCTAGAACTTCTGAAGCCTTTGTGACTGTGCTTTTGGGCACCTGTTTCCCTCTGCATTGTCTTTCCCGCTTTATGAAACAACTATACATTGTAAGGGCATTAACTGGTTCCAATGTGTATATATAATAATTTACGCTGTAGATTAAGATAATATGAAAAAAGAAAAAAACAAAAAGAAAAAAAAAAGACAACAACAAAAGCAACACTGTGAATAGTAGTACCCGTGCTGGTCCTCTTGCTATGACAGCAATTACTGGGTATTTATCCCAACAAAAGTAGATACAGTAGATGTCTTGTAAAACAATAGTGCTGTGTCTCAATCTACGCCACTAGGTTTTAAAGAATTGCAAAAGGTAGAATGAACAACTATTTCATGCCAGTAAGCAGTCAAACAATACGGAAATGCCAGAGGGTTTTGTCGAGGTCTTCCTGGTCCACATTCTGCCCCTCCTATCCAGCTTGTAGATGACTTGAGATTGAGGACAAGCGTGCAGGGCTCAGCATAGAGGTGGGGGAGATAATAATAATAAAAGTAATTTCTTACAAAGCACTATTTCCCCACCCTGAAGCGGTATTGCTGGAAAGAGACAAGGCTTTGTACTGAAACTATATCCGAAAACAGGTAAAGCCATGCATCATGGGTTTTTTAGAAACAATCAGTACACCTGTTCTGTTTCATGGATAAGGAGTGATCATTACCTAAGATGATAATGCAAAGTAAAGATCATGTTAGTACACACCCAAACACACACACAAAATACTAGAGAATATTGCATCTCTGCAACATCCCCTTTATATCCTCCCAGTAAGGTTGTCTCTTAGGCAAAGGTTCCTGCTTTGAACATGATGATAGATGTTAGCTATTGTTGTGGGCTTTTTCTTGTTGTTTTAGATTTCCTACTGACATGATATAAACAATTAATATATATTTAAATGTTAGTAAAACAAGAAAAATGAACCTGAGGTGATTGCAGACCAAGGATATAGTGTTGAAAAAATTCTGGTAAGATGCACTTAACCATCATTTCTCTAGTGGAGTTATGAAATACTGGCAGCCTTTGATATTCACCAGAAGGCTGAAAGGAGTTGATGTTTTACCTTTAAAACAAGATTTATCAGGGGTATATATAAATATATGTATATTGTATATATGTTAGAAAGATTAAGAGAATAACTTATAAAAAGAAAATCTATATAAAATAATTATATAACCATCCCATGTTACATGTTATCATTAAGTTGGTAACAAATGGCATAAAAATAGCTGTGCCTTTAATTTGTGATAAAGGCTATTTGCTTTTTCCCATAGAAAGCTAACGTATACCTATCACTATGATGGGATTCGATGCAGCCAGTCTGTTGCATTAATAAGAACAAGGAGACTCAAACTTAGAACAATGATAAAACATGTACAAATCAACCCTACATGATTTAGATTTAGAGAAAAAAAATATTTTTGAAAAGGTTTTGTAAAGACTATTTAAATCTATAGGGAAGGGCTGGGTACGGCCTTCCTGAAACTGCTCTTAACTAGACTGTAGTAACCTTTTTGAGAGGTAAAAAGATTCAAGATGAAACCATTTGAGAGATAGGTATTTAGCATTTGTCATTTTATATTTAATAAACACCCATAGCGTGCTTGGTGCTCAACATTGAACATGGTCTTTGGAGTTCTTCTCCACCATCTAGCTATATAGACATTTGTCATATAAACATATCTTTAAAGCAGTTGGCTTTACTTAATTTTTGTTAAACAAACCACAAAATAAGAAGAAGGAAGGAAAAAAAAAGGAAGAAGGCAGGCAGATAAGAAAAAAGTATTTCATTAGTCTTTGGTAAAAAGAATTTCAAACCACACATCTCTGGTTAAACATGTTGGTTAGTATTAAAAATTTTTTTTGAGAATACCTGGTAATTTCACATTTACCAACACCTCTACTCTCTGGTCTTAGCAAGTGTTTCCTTTTTTTCGCTCACAGACCCTACCGGTTCAGCCAGATGGAAAGTTGCTCATGAGTTTGGGGCTCTGTCTATATCCCGTGTGACCAGCTTCTAACGGATTTGAACTTTAGTTGCCTTTTTCCTGCTTTGTCAAATATTTTGATCTTTCACTATAAGTTAGCCTGAATCCTTATCCAACAACCTTTACACCTGATAAAACCTCTTTCTGTTGGAGAACTTCATGTTAATTGATGCAGTCTCACTATTATGTGCTTTTGCTGTTCTTCCCCATTTTCACCCAAGTGAATTCGCCAGTCCACTAGAAGTCAGGGCCTGTGGGATGCAAAGAGTCCTGGATCACAAGGTGTTACTAACTTTAATGATTTGCTGGGAACAAACAAATCAGCCATATCTTCTCCATCAGCCATATGAGAAAACTCAGAAATACCTAAATCCCTTCTGCCTCACTTCGCTATGGAACCATTTTTGTTTAAATGGTCTCTTAAATTGGAGTTGTAACCATCAGTTGTCTTTTACTCACTACCTAATAAAGGATGAAGCCTAACTATAGAACTTACAGTGGCTTTTCTGTGAATTGCTTCCCTCCATTCCACATTATTTATCAACACCAGATCAACATCTATTAGAGTTCAGACTGCTATAAAGCTATATCCTTTTCCTTAGGGAACTTTTTTCATGAATAAAGATCAATAAGTCCGATTGGTCAGCATTGGTGCTCTGAAAATCCCCAAGGGTGGTCCGACTTTATGGTTATATATCCCTTCCCATGCATCACACCCATGGCAAGGAAGTGATAGAGAAAATATCTCTGATTTCATTTGAAACAAATATAAATGCATGGCAGGAACCAAATGCCTCTGGAAAAAGCAATGCTGCACCTCCTCCAGATCAACCAGACAAATGGGAAACAGTCGTTGGGGAGGTACTGTATTTCTCTTTTGAGAAAACAGGTGATTACTCATGACAAATTGCTCCTCTCACTGTTCCTAATCTTTGAAGAGTGGTTGTTCTATTCACATAAGCAAACACAGTTGGCTTTTGGCAGTTTATACCATCCCTGCCACATCTGTAAAGATTACAATCCTTAGGTGCTTTTAGGCTTCCCTTCATCTATCGCAATAATTCACTGCCATTATCATCAGAGCTATAATTTGGTTTTTTTGAAAGGTGCTACATATTTTCCTGCCAAAGAACGATTTAACAAAGAGTGTTCATACTCACTTGCAAATTAAAAGAAGAGGAAATTATAAAAAAATTAAAAGACAACAAATTTTTTAAAAATAAGATTATTCAAATTTATTGTGGATGTGGCCATGTAAGTTTCTAAGGCACAGGACAATACATAGCACACATGGCATTAAATTTCACTTACAATTAAATTTTAAATTAATACTTTGTCCTCATACCCATGTAATGTTCAACTTTCCTGAAGAAATCGGATCACAAAGCTAAATGATTCGAGTGGTCTAAAGTCCTCTTCCTTCAAATATGAATTAATGTAGAGAACTACCTTTCAGGACATTAGCATGGATGACATTATATTAATAACTGTTTGTATATGGGAGAGCATCATAAAATGGTGGGGAAAACGAGCTGAAGGAAGTCAAATTTTATTGTAGACTTTATCTCTGACCTGCAGGGTAATAATTAGTAGACTCATGCTTTGTCCTCAATTTCTTCATCAGTAGTATGGCTGAGCTGGTTTACTATTTCTGCATTAAAAGACCACTTCTCTCATCCTTTCAAAAATAAAATTGCTTTCTTGTAGTGAACCACAGAGCTACTCAAATATTTTCATATGTCCAGAAAGGTGTTCTATATTCCTCTCCATCCTGAGTGTACACCACACTGTAGGTCACTCATCTAATCAATCAGAATGTAGACTTCAACAATTATCAGAGGAGTTGCTAATTCACACTGGACTTCTCACAAAGTCATAAAGGATGCACTGCATCTCTTTTCTCAATCTAGAACACCATAAATTTTGAACGAAACAAACCCAATAAAAGCAATAAAAAGTTGTCAGTGGGAGTGTGGAAGGGAGCTTTAAATGCCTCATCCTTATTCCTTTTGTTGTGCTTTCTCTCTTCAGCAGAAAGGGTCTCGCCATCACTAATTCTATCCTGGGTTTGCCTGTGTTTTAGCTAATGGATACTTTATTAAGACCACTTCGTCCACAAAGGATATCAGTGATGCTCTCATCATTGTTACAGCAAGAATTATTTGAACTGTGTCCTGACAGTGAATGTTTTACATATTGATTTCTGTAGGTTTTCACTAAAAAGGTAGATTTATTTCTAGAGCACCTCTTCTGCTCTTTCTATGGCACACTTTAATAATGACAGAGGCTACTACCAGGAAGTGAAATGGATCATTTATAAGGCAAGTCTTACTTGTCTACTTATTAGTTCTGAGAGTGGTATCAGGGCTTCCAGTGAAAGATGGATATATTGATATCTCCTCCTCAGGTGGCCTACAGGGTTGTTACTTTCAGGAATGGGTTTACAGCTTATCAGAATTATGAATGGTGATGGAAGGCCATTTCTGCACTGGAAAAACCTCCTATGTGCTACTTTTTTTAAAAGTCCATGCAGGTTACAAAACATCACAATTTGAAGAATTCCTTGGCTTGCTCAGGTGTGAAAGGACCAAGAACTACCTTCAGTCTGATCATCTTTTTCTTGTTTTCAATGACAGAAAGTAATCTGTCTTAGACGGTGAAGTTGACTCTACAAATGGCCAAAATGCATTTCAGGTCAAACTTGATGATTAATATGTATGATCTAGTAGAGTAT